CCCGGGTTAATCCAACCCGGCTAGCTGGCTGATTCACGGTTGAACCCGGTCCGACTCCTGGTTCGGTCCGGTTTTTAAAACACTGCTTGCAACGACTAAAATAATAGTTAAAAAAAAAAACTGATTTCCTACACAAATAAACACCAATGGATTATTATCCACAAATCTATTAGGGTTATCATCAAGAAGATCTTCTAAATTTTATTGCTGTATTTTTTGGGCTATAAAACTATACGTACAAATATTGGTCACACACTAAACAAGGCACCTAAACCCTCTTGCTTGCAACCAATCACATGATGCTTCACAGCCAACCAACACGTGTCCAGCGATCACAGCGGTCCTCAAATATGTACACAAATGCCACCTCTTCAACTTCAACGTCCCGATTCTCCTGTACCTAAATAAAGGTCAGAGAGGTAACTAGCAAAATCCTCAGGGGCAAATCTGACGATTTCATCCCATGTCTCCACTTGGTACTTTTTATAGAACGCAGAAGCAACATCGGTTAGCTTCTTCGCCACGGAATCTTTTAAATCGTCTCTCAATTTCGAATCCGGTACGACCCAAGTGCTCTGCTTCTTGTACCCTTCTTCAAACGCTTCGTTGAACCGCTTCAAACGCTCTTTCGCCACGTCTTCTTCGAGCAAAACCTCTTCGTTGTCGGAAAGTGACACCATCACTTCTCCCCAAGCGATTTTCTCGTATTTATCAAGGTACTGACTCAATCTTCCTTCGTGGTTTGCCACCCATTCATCTCCCAACACGACTTTCAGATTCGATGTTCGTACCTTGGAGATCACGTAATGGAGATTGTTGGCTAGGAAAAGATACGAGAGACCCATGTCGCTGTAGATCCGAGATTTAGTGTCGATTTTGCAGAGCAAGACGAGGATTAGCCAGGCGAAACTTGTGGTTACCGGAGAAGACGAAGAAGATCCCGTTTCGCCTACTTTGTGTTCTTCATTGTTCACCAAGTAATCTTCGGGTAGAGGCAAAGTCGATTCGGTGAGAATATTTGCGAGTGGTTCCTTGTAATCGGCGAGGAAAACGATGAAATTCATGACGTATCTCGTCAGCTGATGGACTCCACCACCAGGAATCGCGGATTTAGAGGATTCTTTGGTAATCGAAGATTCGAATTCAGCTACCATTGAATTGATTGTTTCACCAAGACTAGTCAAAGAATCCGCAGCTTGCAATCGAACGGGAGAGGTCGAATCGTAGCTGAATATATTCTCGATTTTCGGAAGAAGTTTCGAGATCGTTTGGTAAACATCAAGCGTAAGGAAGATTTTCTCGACGGTCTTTTTGCATCTGGCTATACTCACGGGGAAGACAAAGAGCGTCAAAGCGCTATCTATCGTAATCTCGGAGAAGCAAGATTCCGCAACGGATACCGAAGGCGAGAAAACGTGATCGCAGAGGATTCTTTCTCCGTCGAAAAGAGTAGATATTACTACTTTCGTTGCTTCTAACCATTTCTTGATATTCTTCTCTATACTATCCCAATCCAGTTTCTGAACTTTTCCAAAACTTAGATTCTCAAATCCAAGCTTATTCAATGATTCAACGATGATTGATCTTCTTATCTTCTTGTAAATCTTAACACATTCGTTTTCGTAACCAGAAGATATCATACAATCAGCGATCATTTTCAAATCAATCACAACATCAGCATCTTCAGATTTGGGAACATCTGAATAAACAGAAACTTTCCTCGAATGGAAAGATTTCGTAGACCGAACAGAGACGGATTCCGGATCAAGATTTCTTCGATTCGACTTTAAAATCCGATAAAACTCCTTCTCCAAGTGTTTCATAGCGATCGCCACCAAATTATAAGCTCGAGAAAACTTTTGTGATTCAGGATTCACCAACATTACTCCTTGTATCGCGTATTGCAAGCTATTGATAACTTCTACGAATCTTCTGCCTTCGGTGCGATCCTCGGGTGAGAAAAGGGAGGTAAGAGAGCATGAAGTACAAGAAGGAGAAAGATCTGGAGTAATCCATTTTCGGATGAGATTTTCAGCTGATTCAATACTATCCATTAGAAGAGACTCAGAGAAGCTTTGGTATGGACGTGGCTTCGACCTTCTCGCAAGGGTCGAAGACGGTTTAAATAGTAGCATCATTTTTGTTTTTGTTTTTGTTTTGTAAGTTTTCGTAAATATTGTTAGAATGTGAAGAAATGATGTTTCAAGTTTAATCTCCTTTTTTTTTGGTTTTGGAGGTTCTAATGAAGTGAAAGTTTCAATGACTATTTTATGTTTGGGGTCTTTGATTCAAATCCATTAAAGCTTGTGGTTATCTTCCATTTTCTCTATTTGTTCATTTCTTTTTTCGGAGTGATATTTGGTTTTGTTGTAGTATGTAAGACTTTAGTCAATTTTTTACTTCTAATATAGCCATGCACAAAAAAACTAGTGGCTTTGGATACGTTAATCGATTTAGGGTTTTGATTTATCTTAAACCTCAGATATTTTGAGAGTGTTGCCTAAATGTAGAGTGAATAATTGAGAGCTAACCATTTTTAGGAAAAGAAAAAGAAGTAAAAAACCTTCAAATATCAAATCTTAATTTCTTATTTACTTTGGATATATATGTCAATTTTAAGATATAATTATAGAATCTGGATATGGAGAATATATATACATTTTGGAGAATCTACATTTTGAGAACTAAAACGTCAAAGGGCTAACGGACACAGGGCCGTGCTTGACATGTTACAGAAATGGCTTTTGCCTTAGGCCTCAAAATATATAAAATTTATAGGTCCCCTGATATCCTAGTGGCTTTCTGTAAACAAACTTCAATCTCAAAACCTGGGTTCGATTAGCTTCCAAGATTGAAGAGCCCCGTTTTTTGGAATTTTGATTTTTGATTTAGTACAAAAAAATATATTGGAGTTTAAGATGCAGATCGATTGTTTCCTAAAATTCATATCCTAAACCTAAAAGAATACATCAACACATATGGATTCTAAATTATGGTAGTTTATAAACAACTAGAATATTATCCGCGTTAATACGCGGGTAAACACATTAGAAATATTAATATCAAAATTTAAGTTTTAGTTAGTAATCCGTTTAATTACAAAAATATTTTGAAATATTTAAACATGGATTTCAAACTATTAGTTATTAAAATTTAATTTATATCTTAATTCTCATGTCCTAATTCATATTATGCATGCCAAAAATTAGTATATGCATAAATGGAATTCAAATCATATGCTTAATAACAAAAACAAATATTCTTACACATTATGAATTTATAATAACTATATGATAAAATCTTGTAACAATTAAAATATTATATAGTTAAATTGTCAAACAATAAATTTATGTGAATAATCTCATAAAAACCTATTAAAATATTTTATAATACTTTTATCAAACATTACATATAAATCTATGATTAACAAATGTCATTGATGTCATCGGTTTACTTTTTATAGAGATCTATACTCGTCAAATCTTACATCTTTAAATCTTTACAGTAAA